ACATAAATTTTAACAGGTCTTGTAATCCGAGACACAGTTTCCTGACCCTTAAGATGTCTCAACCCATCAATATTTTTCTTTAAGTGGTAAAAATTGACATTGTGCTGCAAAACATGCAGTATGCGAAATTCCATTAAAAGCACCTTATACTTAAGACTACATGGTTGGATTTTCCAAGGGGATCTCGAATGAACGATTCCACTTGCATTTTACCTGTGGTAGTGTTCAATTACCCTCATCCATACATCGAAACGGTCCCACCATTCGATCGAGTAGCTTTTTTTCTTGTTTTCCAGCCAAATGGACAATGACTGTATATTGTACATAACTACTATATTCGTTCACATGGTGCGTTGTAATAAGACCAAGTTAGAACATTCCTTCTCTTTGTTGGCTTGATCATTAGACAACAAAGTTGCTACGTCAGTAGACAGTAGCCGACTAAAACAATGAACTAATTCACACTCACTTTGTGCTGATCGTGAACCAGTAGCTTCTTCAAGGTATTTTAGAATTTAGTCTCAGTGACAAAGTGCTCAATTCTAATTTGATATACGATAGATAAGAGTGAGATGTTCTTCGACCAGGTGATTTTCCTTTCTGGTGTGCTGCGTATGTTACTCATGGTCTTCAAGTAAGTTCGTATGCGGTACCGTAGTATACCAAATGAGATACAGTTTTCTGAAAAAAGTGAAATATTTTCTGAGCCTCATTGTTTTAATTCCACCCCATAATGTGTGAAACCATGTGTAGTATGCCGTATACCCAGAAATATATTGCTCAGCATGTAAAGCTAATTATGTGGATGAGAAGTCGCCATGAATGGAAGAATACGTTAACAATAGCTGACCATTCAATCTTGACGGACTGACGTCAGGATGTGGGAAATTTGCTTTGGTCTTCTAATCGGCACCATTGAGGTCACGAATCAGTTTTACTGCTGGCAGCCGCTTTGATTGACAAAATGTTCAGACAGTGATAGCGGTGTGGGCTTCATGTCGAGAAGCGTTCTACTGCTTTGCAGGACGCCAGTCGAACTGTCGATACAAAAAACAATTCAAACACTATATATGCAAATAAAATCCGATATTAGATGGATTGAACGACACGAGTTTAAATTTAGTTGGCACCGTTGATATATGGTAGGCTTAGTCCAAAAAGTGAGCTGGTTACAAAGTGGTTCTATCAAATTTTGATTCGTATTCTGTGAGTTATGAAACTGCGAATAACTTGGTTATTTGAATCTTGCATTATGATGATCCAAGTAAACCACATTCCAGAACTGGTAAACTTTTTGAGCAACTGAACAACGTCAAATGCACACTGCCGATTTGCTTCAGAGGGCAGAAAACAGCAGTGTAGTATTTGTCCCCCTTCAGATGACGTTTATTAACATTAATGAATTGTTACTGACTTTCCAACAGTCTGGCGATGACCCCCTTAGCCATCGTAGAGTTAACGATGTTCGGTCTGGATAAGGTGTCCTAAGGTAAAGGACGAATGATTACAAGTGGCACATCAGATGAGTTTCAATTTCAACAGACGTCACTTTTAACCTTGCCAATTTGGGTCAATATCTCCAATGAGGACAAATATACAAATGCGGTTTAGGTTGCTGTTTTCACATCCAAATAGGCTCACAAAGCCGAAAAAACGAGAGCAAAATGTCCAGGTATTTCCACAAACTCCGTTTTAAATCTTTTGGAAAAAATGGTAATTTTATATATTTGGTATTTTTTAGATTGTGTTAACCTTAGCATTAAATTTGCCTCTTAAACCATGGTCACTCAGACAATTCAAGCCTTCATGATGTAAGAAAAACTAGTGAGATCTACATCACTCCCCTTTGTTATATATAGAATTTTATGTAGAAGCTTATTCAACTTCCCTTTTTTGTTAGGTTAAATCCGAGACGCTGAGAACGTTTGACAGATTGGATAAATCAGCTGTCACTGAAAGGTTTCATGCGTACTCAGTGCTTTTTATGGATTTTTCTTCGTTCCTGTCCCAGATGCCCGGTTAAATCCTCAAAACTAATTCCGGTACAATTCACAAACCATCACTTCCCGAGCGCACACATACAGAGCGACCTGTTTGCAGCATTTCGTCTAGGAAAGCTGAATTCGGTCTTCTTCCAATGTCGGCTGGTGCTGTGTACAGAACAAACTGATTGCAAACAAGCAAGTATCCAGTTCTTTTGGCAATTACACTATTTGAAAATCTTTCTTAAAATTTGTTGTACTAAATTTCAGTGTGCACAGTATCCTTGTGTTTCAGAAACGAGCCCAGAGTTACCGAGGGGTTGTTGTCTTAAAGGGTCTATAAGTATTGAGAAACACTCCGTGTAACTTTGAATGTAACTGGAACCCAAAAATTGCAGGGTTTATTCGTGCTGTTATAATTAGAAGTCTGAATATCAGCTCAGCAATTTAATGTGTCTACTCAGATAGGCGAACGATAAATCGGTGTAAATATAGACAGAATTCCCACTCGCATCCCAATCAGTATTGACCCTCACGTTATATGTAAATTGTGCTAGTGAGGTACGTTCTTCCAACTTTGTGGTGTTCTTTTCCTGATCCTGATGCTCATTGGAACATGGGATTAGTGCGTATAAATGTTCCACTGCCTACCAGTGACGTTTTTGTTGAGTTGTGACCATGTTACGGTGCATTTAGACGGCAAAACTCAGAGTTTCTGTTTGGATAATTTAGTTCCTGTTTCCTCCTGCCAGATGGACCGATTTGCGTACCATAAAACGGCAATTTATAAAGTTTGCCATATATATATACCCAACCTAATCCTTCCAGTATTTTCCTCCTCTGTTAGAATGTGCCTGTTTTGGAAGTTCAATCATCCGCGACTATATATGCATGTCCATCATAACCATTCGGAGCCGATTTTAGTGCACGAATGCTGCATGCAGTTTCAGAAGCACGTTGGTGTAATTTTTATTCAAAGTGCACTTTAGCTAGTTTTCCCTGTCTCGCTTATTCAGACACGCAGTTATCAAGCTATAAAACCTCTA